AGAATGAGAGAGAGAGAGAGAGAGAGAGAGAGAGAGAGAGAGAGAAAGAGAGAGAGAGAGAGCACTACTTTGATAAGGTATGCACTGTATTCCTTGCATACCATGTTGATCCTGAATGATAGGGCCGAAGCAGCCTGCCCCCGAAATGATCTGTTTTGTTTCATGAGGCCGGGTCGTAAAAGGTCTACAGTCACTTGCTTGTTTACACGTAGCCTGAATGTTTCAACAGCTGTTGGGTATTTGTGGTGGTGAAGAGGACGTGAAGATCAAGTTTCAGCGCTGATCATGAAACATCGAGTCCTTGAGCGTGTCATTATTCCGGAAGGCATTCAATGTTGATGATGTTGTTGGCAAAGTGATCAATGTTGACCTTTACGTTTGCTTGTGATGAGGATAGTTAAGGGGAATTGAATACTGATGAAACAAGCACGTGGAGCGCATACTGTTTATCTTGTCTCCCCCTGTGAGCCAGCCAGACAACAGATAAACACATAAACACATACGCACGCTCACGAACACATGTGTGCATACATAAATACATTAACATAAAGTCTGATCTGCACATATAAACACAGCACACATAATCAGGCTTGAACCTTTAAATTTCCAAAGAAAGAACGAGCTCTGTGCCTCCACCCACATCCCCCTAAACCCCAGCCGCCCAAACACCCATACACACATAACACACAGACCCACCCCCTCTCTCTCTCACACACACACACACTCACACAAACACACGTACACATTCTCTCCCTCACACACATACACACACACACATACACTGTCTCTCTCTCACTCTCTCATGCACATATATACACACGTACGCGCGCGCGCACGTGCACACACATTACACACACAAACACACGCACACACACACACACATACACACACACACACATACACACAGACACACACACACACACACACACACACACAAATCCCATGACTTTACTGGTAGCTATTTCTGGAGCAGAAAGGATGCAAGATGTCACAAGAAATTGTGAATAAATACCTGCATGTCAAGTTTCCATGAAACAAAGACAAGGTCTACTAATTGTTCATTTTGGATCGCCTGCTACATGTCGTAGCGGATAGGGTTACATCCAAACAAACCCATAGCGTGCTGGATAAGTAGACTGGTTGAAAAATCTTAGAGAAAATGGGAAACCTAAAGAATGTTTATGATAAATTATAGATTGTTTTAGGAAGGGGGGAGGGGGAGGAGACAGGGGGCGGGGCGGAGGGTGAGGGGAAACAGTATAAATAACAGAACAAACGGAAGAAAGGAAAGAAACGATGCATGGAATGCGACAGTCTTGTTATTACTAAAACATAGCAGACAGAGAGAACACACATAATAATATTTTAGCCACTGGTGCGTTACTTTGCATTTTACTAATGAACAATGGTAACATTATTATCAAAATATCAAGAGAGTGGGGTAGTGATTTCTGTTTTTTGAAATTTTCTTTCTGTATGAGTTAAATGTTTGCGTTCTTGTTTGCTTGTTCGTGTTTTCTGTTTGCGTGTATGTATGTTTGTCTGTTTGTGTGTGTGTGTGTGTATGTGTGTGTGTGTGTGTGTGTGTGTATGTGTGTGTGTG